CAAGTTAACTGGATGTATGACTGGAGAACATCATGTAGAATGGGTGGGTACCAATAAATTTTGAGCCTTAAATCCTTTTTTCTAAAAAACCGTGAATCAGGCCATGTTACAACCCTCAAAAGTCCTAATTGAAGCAAAGTTTATTTCGAAATCATGCTACAACGAGGTAGAGTTTAAGTGACTCCTAAGCGGTGTGCTTAAATATCTGTGTTGGTATCATATGCTTGCATTATCTTTCATACAAAAATATTTTCAATGTTGCACTCTAAAAAGTTATTCGTTGACAACAGGGTTGTAACATCACTTCAATCAAAGATTTTTAACTTCAAGACTAACATAGGCTTTGCATTAGAACTATCATTCTTAGAATAAACAAATTTTCTGTTTGCAAACAGTTGCTTGACAACAAGGAAATTTTCCATGATGGGAAAAGAGCATGATCACATCAACATAAAGAGACTTGAGAACTCAGTGGAGTAAAAGCCAATCATTCCAGAGAATGATCATATCAAGGGGTATGTTTCCTAGAGACTCTATTGAGCACAAGAAAGTGGCTTTCGCGGTGTGATCGCCCTGGAAAGGGTAGCGTTTGAAGTCTCTATTGAGAAAAGGATATTCCAAGAGTATCCAATCCGAGGCAATCAAGTCAAGATGTAGTCTCTCATAGTGAAGCAAATTCGGGGTAATCAAGTCGAGGCATCTCTTCAAAGTTCAGTCGATTTGGGGCAGTTAGGTCGAGACTCGACAAATCTCTTCAAGGATCTGAAGAAGTTAGGGAAGATTATGCTGAAGAATCCGTTTAGTAGGGGCACACTATACCACTTTCAAATGATCATAAGGAATAAAAGGCCTTGAGACTCCGTTGAGGATATGCAAATCTTTCCAAATTTAGATTTCCAAAAGACTCCGTCGAGTAGAGGCACGATGCTTTAAAAATAAAATGGTCACCTTGAAAGGGAAAACACTTAAGGACTCCGTTGAGAAGAGGATGTGCCCTATTTAGTCAATCTGGTGCAATCACATCGAGAAATCCCTCAAAGTTCAGTCAATCAGCGGCAGTTACATCGAGATTTGGCAAATCTCTCCAAGAATCCGTTAATTAAGGGGAGAATATTTTAGAACTTGAAGATACCGGGGCATATCATTTTCAGTCGTTATGGTAAAAAGGGATCCTCGTGAGGAAATTTCCTTTATAAATTATGCAGTTTGGGGCATAAGCTACAAATTAAAGGAACTGTCGTTCTCTTGTGATAAGCAGCGTGCCAACACAAGAGCAAATAATCATCACGATTGTTACCAATATGGAGTTCCTGGGTTGTTTTCCCTAGTAAGGTGTTGGAAGAAGCTTTCTCAAGCAGAGTATTTTCTCCTCAGTAGAGTATTCACCTTTGAAGATTCTTCACAAGGGTTTTCATTCCCCAATAGAAGCTTGTCTGATAAGAGTTTCTTGTTAGGAATTCTTTCATCCCAAAGCAAAGAATACTTCCCCAGTAGAAGCTTGTGGTTAATTATGTCCCCAGCGGAGTTTCCTTGACTGTATTTTCTTGTTTAAGAATTCTTCTATCCCCAACGATGTTATGTTATTGAGGTTTTTGCCTTCTAATCTCCGACAGAAACCTGATTTGTCAAGAGTTTTGTGCCAGAGTTATCTTATCACCCAACAATATGAAGTATTATGTATCCCCAGTAGCATGAGATAGTGGGGTTGTTCCCCAAGCAGCTTGAAGTTCGTTTTAAAGTCGGGATTATATTTATCTATCTCTAGTTATAATTTGGTGTTATCCTCTGCAATTCCAATGTTTATTGGTATCCTTAACAAAGTCCAATCTTCATTGGTGTCCTTCTTCAGAATTTGAAATTTATTTTTGCAAATCCCTACAGAATTGATAAGGTATCTTTAAGATTTCCTCAGGGTTTCTAGGGTAGTGCAATTCCCCACTAGAGCTAATAATCCAAATCATGATTGGTCTCTAGTTTGTTGCTCCCCACTGAGAATCAGATTATCATATTTTTTTTATCAAAAGTTCTTTGCTCGCCTGCAAGTTCCCCAGCAGTGTATTATATCATGCATCATTACATCGCATCCACCTAAACGCGTAACATTTCCATTGTTTATGGAGCATTACGCCATAAAAAAAAATCAAACATACATTGAAGCATAAGCCATGTTTGATAAATCAGTTGATATATCCCTAGGAGATTTGTTAATGCACTCCAGTTCTTTTTGGAAATTCCCAGCAGGCTTCTTCAGAGTCCATTACCCTTTTGTAACCCCGGTTCCCAACAAGTCCAATAGTTTATTGGTGTTGACTTAAATTCCAGTAATTTACTAGCATTTCATGGTTAGGTATAATAAGTCTTCCTTGGTAAAGTATAATAGTTGATTGACATTGCTTTTAGGTTCAAAAGTAACTAGAATTCCTTGGTTAGGTCTAGTAAGTCCTCTTTGGTAAAGTCTAATGGTTATTGGCATTTATTTCAAGTTCGGTAGTAATTGGCATTCATTGGTTAGGTCTAGTAAGTCCTTCTTGATAAAGTCCAATGGTTATTGGTAATTATTTCAAGTCTAGTTTGTTTACTAGCATTCATTGGTTAGGTCTAGTAAGCCCTCCTTGGTCAAGACCAATAATAATTAGCATTTCCTTCAGGTCCAGTAGTAACTGGTGTCCCTTGGTTAGGTCTAGTAAGCCCCCCCTTGGTAAATTCCAATAGTTTACTGGCATTTCTTTTGAAGACTGGTAGTAATTGGAATTCCTTGGTTAGGTCCAATGAGTCCTCCATGGCAAAATTTCAATGGTAATTGACATCGTTTTCAAAACCAGCAAGTCTATCGAGTCCCTGGTTAGGTCTAGTGGTTATTAGTCTTCCTTGGTTTAAAGTCCAATTTGATTGGCTTTTTTCAAAGTCCAACGTGTCCTGGATTTCCTTGTTTAAAACTATTTAGTCCTCCTTGGTAAAGTCCAAGGCGATTGGCATCGCTTTCAAGTCCGCACCCTGTCTGTCAAACCTTTGCAGACTCTTTCTGTCTAGCTGAATATTTCTTCTGTGTAGTAGAAGACAAAGTTTCTTTTATGTAGTAGAAGATGCCCTGGAGCTCAGTTGCTAAGTTCCTTTTTTGGGTAGTAGAAGATGGAGTTTTCTTTTCGTGTAGTAGAAGGTATCTCCAGATCCAGTGGTTATTGGCATCTCCAACTAAGTACAGTCGTTATTGGTGTCCTTTTCGAACCCAACATTGTTGTTTCATAAAAGATTCTATCCTTACTAGCCAAAGGTAGTTAGTGGAGGCACGCAAGAACCTCATAACTCCCTTTCATCTCCCAATGCGCAAATTTTATGGTTCTCTCAGTATTCAATTCTCTTCCACCTTGAACGTTTAAAAGTCGTTGCTATTCTCACCTTCAGATTTAAGATGATTAAATATGGGCAGTTGTTGCACCCAAAAAATTTTCCTCCTATTTATAATCCCTAATTGGCTTATGCTTCTCACATCATTCATGTATATATCTCCATTAGGTCATTTTACTTTGCATACATTCATTGAATAAGTAGATTATACATTGGATTAAAGGTCTAGGAATAAGCTAGGGTTTCACCTGGTTTAGAGTTTCTACATCAAACAAACTTGTTTCAATTAAAGTTCTTCTTGGTCATGAGCTAGGGTTTCTCCTTCTAATGCTTGGAATGATTCAGGGTTTGACATTATAAGCATTTTGGGACTTCTTTTCAACATTATAAAGTTTTCTTCATGGTTTAGAACTTAACCACATCCTAACACGGTTAACCACGAACCATGTTGACATTTAACAAAAATCATAAACAAAAACTCAGAACTTCATTAAGCCTTTCCATTTAACCTTCAAATTCAGACAAGCTCAACTTATAACTGACCCTTAACTATTACTAACCAAATTCCAGCTCATACCCTAACTGTTTCTAACAACTCAACAAACTTCCAAATCCAACAGCTCAAATCAAATTATCTATAACAAACTTCTGCACCTTATAACAGATCCAAAATTACAAAAAAGAGGACGATTCAGATAGAGGAAAATTGACCATGAAAAATATTCAACGATTTCCTTTTCTCTCTGCAACAGAAAAGTCTTCAAGAATCATCATCATCTCCTGCTTCAATCTTCATCTCTTTGCGCATCATTGAACTTCATCTCTCTGTGCATCTTCAATCATCATCAACGATTGCATAACAACAATAACGATCAACATATCTGCAAAAAGGCAATCATCATCACATTGTATCAACTCTTCACTTCTCAACAAAACACTTAGCTTCACACAACAACACGATTGTCATACTCTAATTTTTATCCCAGGGTCGTTCATTCATCGCATTTGCATCATTAGTCGGTCATTCGTGCATTTAGGTTGACCAAAAGTCAACTTAAATCAACATTTGCATTTTAAAAGTTAAAAATACTCGTTATTTCACTTCATGCATTTTTATCTCTTTACACCTCTTCATGCATTGCGCCAAGTTGTTTATACTTCAATAATATTGATATTTCGGTTCTACAGACAAATCGTTAAAAGCGATTCGACACTGTGTAGAAAATTAACAAGTAAAATATTTTGAGTTTTCACATTTATCTGACTATTTTATGAATCTACGTTCCGCGTAGATTATGTTGGTGCGCTCGCTTTATTTTTCAGTGCAGTTTGCAGTCTCTTTCTTAATTGTCAGCGTCTGTTTAGCCGAATCTTCTTATTTTAGTTTTATTTTCAATTTTGATCCTTTGCAGTTTTTATTTTTATTAATCTTTGTGATCTATAATTTATTTTAACGTGTTTATTTCTTTTTTTCAATTAATTAAGTATTTATTTTTTATTATTTTTTATTATTTTAAATCTCATTTTTTTATTTAAAAAAATAAAACAAAAACATTTTTGATTGAGTTAATTTTTATTCTTTTAGATTTTCAGTTTAATTTTATCAAAAGAGCGTTTTTGGTATTCTAAAAAATGTGAAAGCCCTAACTGTTTTGTCATTTAAGAGAGAAAGAGATAAAAAGTCGGGGGATCAGAAAGAAAAAGAGAAACGAGAATTGAGATAAGGGCTTGTTTGGAAGAATCAAAGGGAGAATGAAAAAACAAGGCATGTGAGAACCTGATGCCAAACAAAGCCTTAAGCTCTCACACATTTCCTCTCCATTTCCATTGAAACCCTTCTCAATCTCCCACACCGAGCAGCTCCATTTCCGCTCTCCACCTGTCCCTGTTCTGCCCACGCGTGATACCCCTCCGTCCAACTTCCTTCTGCCATCACCCATTGTTATCCCTCCGTAGCAGACCTCACCATTCCGCCTTCCAGCCTTCTCCGAGTACAGCGAGCCACCACCAACCTTCTGCTATTTCCGATTCAGCAATCCCTCTCACGTTCAACTTTTGCTAGCATCCGGAACTCACCACTGTGCAACAACAACATACTCCCTCACGTTTTGTTAATTGGTAACACCCCCATCACTTTCACCGTCCCATTTAATTTCTTGAAATATTTGTGAATGATAGAGTTGGTATCATTGTTGTGTATTTGATTTTTATTTGAGTGGTAGAATTTTGAGATACTTGTGTTGAAATTGAATTATGACCATTGGTTTTAAATTTGAGTGATGATATTGTTGTTATTGTTAGGTAAAATTGATAATGATATTGTGAGATGACATTGTTTTTTAGTAATGAGATGGTGAATTTAATTTGGTTTTGGTTGGTATTAAAAGGTTGAAGATGATGAATAGTGAAACTTGTGTTAAATTATTGTTGAGAATTAATGTTGATTTTGCTTTTGAGTTTGAGAAATTGATATTGGTTTTGGGATAATGAGATATTAGTGATGACATTGTTTTTTGTTTGTTGTTGATTTGATAATGACATTGTTTTGGAGTTTAATGTTGAATTGATGATGACATTGTTTTGTTCTAATTGTTAGAGTTGGTAACGAGGCCATTGTGGATTTAAATGTTGAAAGTGTTGTTGATTTTTGGTTTGAAGTTCAATTGTGAGAAACTTTGATGACATTATTCTTTGAAGTTAGTGATGAGTTTGTTGTTGTGGTTTATTGAAACATTAAATGTTTGTATGCTATTTGTGATGAACTAATGATATTCGTGTTACTTGAATCAATGTGATTGAGTTTTGTTATCGATAATATGCTCTATGTGTCGTTTATGCTAAGATTGAGTAAGTTGTGATGTTGAGGCTATGCTTTACGCGTCATAAATGTTGATTTCAAAGTGAATTTTTTTAATGATACCATGTTACTTTCTTAATTGGAAGGAAGTGTTGATGTTTTGATTCTTGAGATTTGGATTTGATTGATGAAATTTGTTATGACATATTAAGTGTTTCTCATTGGCTTTTAACATACTTTATGTGAGACTTTTGAACTTTCTTTTGTATGTGATGTTGCTGCCCGGATATTGTTGCGCATGATTAAGGTTTGGTTTGAACTTGTTTTCTCATGTTTTGGAGTTGAATTGAATAGTAACTTGAGTAGCACTACTTTAACTTGATTTTAAGGACATTAGAATGCTAGTTTGTTTTGATTTTTGAGTGAGGAATCTAACCATGGTATTACTTTGTTGTTTCCGTTTGCGCTAAACACGTATGAGATTGAATTTTTCACTCGTTTCATATGCATTGTTGCTGCTTGGTTTTGTTTCGCATGACAAAAGCTTGTTCAATCTTGTTTTCTCATGTCTTGAATATTTTTTGGGTGCCAATTTGAGTCCATACCATGTGTTGTTGGTTTAAGAGGAATGAAATGTTTATTTTGAAGATGTGAGAACCCATTTTTAGCATGTTTTGACTCATGAGCTCTAATTCTCTCTCTTCTCTTGAAAATTATTCAATCTTCATTTACTTGATACTTGTGGTGATTAAAGCTTTGTTCTTTCATGAGTTGAAGTTTTGTCCCTTAATTGAAATGTGTTCGAAGTTTGTTTTGAGAAACTTTCCTGAGATTTATGGTTGCATTTCGTCTCTCACCACTTACTTACTTTGTCGGCTCGTAATTGAGTGGTAATTACCAATTTGATTCATGTCTTGCTCCACTTCTAGCTTGTTGTGTTTGATAACATGATGATTTTATGATATATCCTTGGGTATTACTTTTAGTTATAGGTGTTTACTTGATACCTTTTACATGTTTGTTGCCCTTGATTAAAGTTTCACTTGTGAAATTGTTGTTTCTAAATGATACTTTGTCAATTCTAATAGTTTATTTGAGTTGATGTCCTTGCTTGGTAACTTATGTAAACTTTGGTGAAAGTCAATCTGAATCCAATGCATGTTAAGGGCAATCACTTAGAGGTTTTGAAATACCTTTCTTAAGAAGACTCATTGGTTGTTCAATATTTGTTTAAAGGCCCTTTTGTGCTATGTTTTGATCACATGTCTATTCAATGATTGTTCAAGTATTCTTTTGAGCTTCCTTGATGCATGTTTGAGTGTTATCTTGTTAACATGTTTGGATTACATGTCTTGATAAAACCTTGGTGTTTACCTAAGAATTTAGCTTTGTGCTTGAGACCTCTGGATCTTGTATTGTTCTACTATTACCTTGTCTGGGTATTGGGAAGTTCTCCATGTGCAGGTGCTGTTATTGTGATCTTAAAAGATTTATCTGATATATGACTTAATATTGAAGACATTGCTTTGGGTTTTAATACCTTGGGTTTCTTTGATACTTCCTTACTTGTGATTTACTTTCACATGGTGATTGATATGTTCTTGGTCTATTCTATGCTTGTGGCTTTAATCCAAATGATGAGAATTCCATGTTGACTTCATTATGTTAAGTGTTGGATTCTTGTTTGGTTAGACATTTCATACCTTAACTTTTACTTTATGCTTTAGGATAATCTCTTCATCTCCTTCCATCTTCTTTAATTTTCAAAATCTTCTCCTTTTTTCAAAAGATTCTTGTTTTTCAAACTTGAACCACTTTTATAATAAACTTGGACTTAGGTCCCTGCCTTTTTCAAAATCCTTTTCTTAATTAAGTCATCAATTAATCTTAATCAAGATATTACTTCTTTCTTCAATACCTAAAAAATACAAAATAAAATCAAACTATTTTGCTGCTTTGACTTTTCACTTTAAAATCTTTTCTTTTAAAATTAACCAACACACAAACTTTCAAACTTTTTTACCCGAACTACATGGAGTTTAATTTCAACATTGCACATTATTGGTATGTAGGCCCAAAGCTCATTGGAAGCTTTGTCAAATTAAAAATTGTAAAAACTACTTATTTTTTCATCTCCATAATCTTTTGTAAATATTTCTTTTTAACAAAATACATAAATTTTCTAAGATTATGAAGATTATAAAGACGAGGTTCTGTTGAACAAGTTCTAATGATCTGAAGAAAAGCAAGCTCTTATGATCGAGTGCTGAAGACTCTGAAAATATGGTTCTGATGGGACAAGTTCTAAAGACTCCAAGACTTAGGTTCTAAGACTTAAAAATGATTCTTCTACAACAAGCTTCAAACATTCAAATTATCTGAAGTCTCTGAAGAATAGAAGAAGTTCAAAATGGTTAACGTGTGATGGTTTACAAAAGATACAAAAAGTTTCTGTGACCTCTACCCTCTAGGGTGACCTAAGGAGAATCCTTTCGCACTATACTGTGTACTACTCTCATTATGACCGTTGGGAACAAACAATTGAATTTTCGATTACCTTTCTACCTCTTCAACGTATCTCTTTTCCAAACTATAAAAGGGAGACTTGGAAGCTTAAGAAATGTAAGAATCATCACAAAAATCTATAAGATTAAATCAAGCTCAAGCACAATTACACGAAAGTGTTGTCCAATTCTTTAGAGAAATCTTTTGTGTATAGTTTTGTAAATAGGCAAGGAGTTGTTGCTCGTATCTTGCTGTAAAACACTTAGGTGTTTTTCTTTGTACTGAAACGTTTGTATAACCTGCTTAAAAGAAGAAAATTGTAATAAATTTAAAATACTCAACGGTTGTTGATTGATTCCTTTAGTGACCGGATGAAGGTCTGATCTCAAGAAGACTTCTGCTGCGGCTTGAGTGAATTTGCAATAAGGATCAAATGACTTATTGGGGGGTGTCAATAAGGTTGATCTGACTTATTGTGGGTTGTCTGTAATCAATTTGGTTATAGTGGATTAAATCCTTGTTGAAGGCAAATCACCCTGAAGTGTGGATTGAAGTAGCTTAGTTAACAGTGAACCAAGATAAAAATAATTGTGTTTATTTATTTTTATGTTCTAAGTTAACTCGGTCTTTCATCAACGAAAAGATTTAAAATAGTATTTGGTGAAATCCAATTCAAACCCCTATTTTTTGTGTTTCTCACTCCTTCAACCTTGGCCTCTTAGGATGCAATGCGGAGACTGTCCAGGAGTTTATTATGGCATATCTGTTACGTGATATTGCACTCAAACGAGTTTCTCTTGAGAATATTACCAATTATCGAGTAAATTGGGATGTTGGTAATATCTGAAGGAGGGTCGTAGACTCTGTGAATTTTTAGAACCTTGTTCTACAGGTGTTTAAGCCCTTAGTTCACACATTATGGATAATACCTTTGACTTCATGCTCGTGACATCAAACTTACGAACCCTTTTGTTTGTGACATTGTTTGTGATTGTTGCATAATCATGCATTCATGAAACTCTTTTTCACTTGGTTTTCAAGGAACTTAGAGGTCTTTCTAAATAAACGTTATAAATTTCATCAAACTCAACGGGTCTTGGGTGTTTATGGGGTGAAAACTCGAATCCACAAAAATGGATGATTGATTTTGATGATAACTTGATCAATGCTTTGATCCAATTTGGGATCTACTTTTTATCTTCATGCTTTGATGTTTACAATTTAATATCTCGAGTTCCTTGAAAGTCAAATAAAACCAACATTTGCATATCATGCATCATTTCACACTTAATTTTGCATTTTACAAAGTTTCTCACGAGTCTTATCCATTTTCCTTGATCTTCGTTCAACGAGTTGTCGCATTCATACGACACTCATGCTAATCACAAGAGAAGAATGGAAAATCTCGAGCAAGAAAATCGAGAGCTAAGGGAATAAGTTACCACTCTGAGAACCAGTATGGCTAATTTGACTGCTCTAGTTAAATCTTTGATTGTCGCTCAAGCTCCTCCTCCTCCTATTCAGTCTCAAGCTCATACTCAACCTCAAGTCATTGTTATCTCAGAAGTTGTTTCTGCTCCAGTTCATGTTGCTCCTATGAGTACTACTACTTAATATCAGATGTCTCGTAGTTATCCT